AAGCAGAGACAAAAGATTCTAACATGGTCCACAGAATTCACAAAATCTCTTAGGCTAGAAAAATAAATAAAATTTTTAAGAAAAGCAATTAGAATTTGTTTTATGCACAATCTAGTAGCTTAAAACTGCAGTGAAAATTTCACACTACAAAATATCTAAAATTTTGGGTTAAAAAAGTAATAAACAAAGCAAACTTAATAATCCATGCTTAAGCTGATTGGAATGGAAGGAAAATCCTCAAAGGCTAGAAATGAGAAAATGTGAATCTATAGAAATAAGCAAAAACTGAAGAAAGCATTTTACTTCAGAGCTACAGCAGAATTTTAAAAGCCCACTATACAAAACGACAGAAAGAATGTTTGAGGCCTGTGTAAAACTGGAGCTGAAATCAGAGGCCTGCATAGATTTGGGTTTCCCAGAAGTTCTCACCCTTTAAAGGTGAATTGAGAAGTATTCTCTCCTGAAAATGTCCAGCCACTGAGACATGTCACAGCAAGGCCCCAGCACAGTACAGATGGGACACTCCAGGTGATATAGGAGGGTTTAATATGGGAAATATTAAATGTGTGGGTATGGATAGGGAATCCACAAATAAGAGAAAGTGATGTACCCAGGATTCATAATTGTAGAGCTGTTGCTAACCTCAAGACCAAAGTGACATGGGACAGAAAGTGCTGTTGGAACGTAGAAGGAGAAATTCACATGGAGAAGTTTGCCTTGAGAGGAACTGTAACCTCGGTTGAGAGTCAGCCTAAGGCAACCCCACTAGCCAGCTCAACTGAAATGTACATTAGCAGGGTATGCACAGCACCCCAGATCCAATCAGTATGATGATATCAATGTTGCGGACCACTGTGATGTTTCTACAGGATGTCAAGATAACCAAGATCCCTGTGGACTATATGGTGACAGACAGCAGGAAAGTTACCATGAAAAAGCCAACTGCTCATGAGCTTCCTTTTTTTTTTTTTTTTTTCCTTCTTTTTGTCTTTCTTTTTTTTTTCGTGACCGGTAATGGATCGCAACCCTCAGTGTCGCGCCCGTACCAGACCGGGACTGGCAACGGGATCGCAATCCTCGGTGTTGCGCCCGCACCTCGCTCAGCCAGTGAGCGGCTGGTCTGTATGTGGGATCCAAACCCTCAACGGGAGCGCCACTGCGCTCCCAAACGGTGCACTGTAGCAGTGCGCCACCGGGCCGGCCCATGAGCTTCCTTCTTAATGGGAGTGAAAAGGAATGTAATCACCAGCTCAAGACCACATACCAAATGCCAGAGCTTGTAGATATCTTCTAGCAAAGTTTCAACTATAAATCGAGGCTACCAGAGTGTAAGGATATAGCAGTTCACTCTCATCCAATATGATCCTTCTGGTTTTGCAAGGGTCATGTAGGTGAATGCAAAAGGTATATGTAGACACTGCGATCACTGCATCTTTTAAGGTTCTTCTGGCATTAATCTCCATGAATCAGTCTGAAATGTATTCTTCTCTGTGAATTATTATTTTGGCTAAGATGTCAGTTTCCAGAGTTTGCACTTGGTTCTTCCTACCACAATAGCTCTCACAGTGCAAGTTAGAGGATCAGTGTGAGGATTCTGCCACATTTATTCCCACATCCATCCCAGTTATACCTTATGGAGCTGGGGCTACAATCACAGATGCCCTTTATGGATGCTTTCAAATTACTGTGAGATAAATACTGTGACAAATTTTCCTTAATTTTCTGTCTCCATAAGACCCTCCTTAACTGAATGAATATAAATTTCTGTTCCCTTGAGTTCCAGCTCAGACTCCAGATCTCATAGTCCTCAAAGAGTCTTTATAGTCTCCTTTCCCCAGTACGCAGTAACCTGGAAAAATAGTTTCAATTACCTTTGGGAAACAGACAGGAGAATACTTGTTTATACATACATGTGTGTGTGTATGCATATATATATATATATATGTATGTATATATGTGTGTGTGTATATATATATATTTGTGCTGGTATTAGAATGTTTCACTTCAAACAGACTCAACAGGCCCCTCAATGATTGGTCTTTGTGTCTGTAAACTGACATGAATTTTTATACTGTGGGCGTTGCCAGCATCATGCAATTTCAGAAACCCTAGTGTGTTTTAGATCTCTACCTTTTCCCTAGGGACATCAAGACATAGTAGACACTGTTATAGAACATATAGGTCAAGGCACCCTGGTAACAATTTTGCATTGCTGTGTATTTTGTAATTATATCCACCTTCTCTCTAAGAGCTGAGTGCTACTACCTGGTCTCCACCATTCCCAAATCTCTACATCCCCACTGGTGTTGCCATGGCAGTATCTCTCACTATCGATTCTGGCCAACAGCAAAGAGCTACCATCAAACTTCTTTAACAGGGTGCTTCTTTCTTCTTTAAGGAAAGAAGAGATAGTAGAATGCAGAAGTGATGGCATGTCAGTTCTGAATCTAGGCCTCAAAAAGCCCCATGTTCTTCCTTCTCTCTCATGTGCCCAGAAGCCACACGAACAAGTGTGGGCCTCTTGAAAGATAGCAGGAGATGAGTCACCTCAGCTGTGACCCTGCTAAACCAGCCAGGCTTTGGCCAACTGGATGACTAATTACAGAAGCACCAGCAGATCTATCCCAACCAGCTAGACCTGGCCCAGAGCAGCAGAGCTACTTGAGAGCTACAGCAGTGGTTGCTGCTTGAAGCCACCCAGTGTTTGGGGTGGCTTATCACACAATGATAGCTAATTCATCTAAACAGTACAAAGCCTTAGTAAATCCATGTTACCGTAGGCCAAGAGTTATTGCTGCTCTCCTCGCCAACGGCGATGGAGTCCTTGTTCTCATGACAGTGATGGGTACTACAGGGCCCTGTGACCAAGAAGCCCTATTTTCTCCTTAGACTAAGACCATAAGTAAACTGACATAGTCCAGGGAACTAGTCAGTGATGTCCAAGAATGTATGGGCCCTGATACTTATAGAGTTTTGTGGGGATCTCTTTAAGTAAAATAATACAAAATTATAAATACAAAATTATCTCTGCAAGTAAACATTTATCTATAATGAGAAATAAATGATGCTAAAATACATATTTAAGAAGGCTGAAAAATATCATAGAAACATCACAACATATAAAAAGTACCCTATTTATATTAATCGATAGCCTGATGTACTCTTTAATATATTTTTCTATTCATCAATGGCTGCTTACTCTTTGATTGGTTCTGATTTGAAAGGAAGCCTGCAAATTCTTTCCAATGTCATGCTTGACTGAAATTCATTTGTTGTTGTTATGGGTGGCACAGAAAATTTCAGCAGCTTCACAACTCATGTAAAATTTAGCTTCACAAGTAAAATTAGCTTCACAAGTCATGTAACATTTTAGGATTGTTGTCAAATTTAAGAAAAACTTATCAAACTTACTTCACTTATGAGCTACATGATTTCAGAGAGTTTCATGTAAATGGCACCTTTTCTGTTCTTTTAATATGAAACCATTGGACTTCATTATGATGGCAAATGTCAGATACTCTAAGGTAGAGTCCATTATGTTGGGTTTATAAAACATGCGACTTCACATGCAAATTGATTCACTGTAGTACTGCTACAAGTATGTACACTATAAATAGGCATTCTGAGGTGTGTGTGTGTGTATGGCATTAAATAAAATAAAAAATATATTTCTGATAGGAAAAAAAATCCATTTGGACAGGGCAGAGATGAGAAACAAATGTGTGGCTTACAGGTTGACACATCTGATGATTTGAATCTTGGGAGAATTTTCTGTAGATAACTTTTGGGACCTTTGATTTCAAACCACTTTTTCCCCTTTATATCAACATATTTCCAGTGCCTGAAACTATAGAGTACAGTCATGTCACAACCTTATTGGAATGCCATGTGAGTCAGCATAGTGTTCTCCAGGAGTGTTCCTAGAGACTATTCCTACTCGGAGACAGCTAGCAATAACTTACCTATATACAAAAGTGGCTAGGAAGCATATAAACGTTCCCAACTAAACCCAAACTAAATGTATCTACAACTTGAATGTGCCTTATTCCAAACATTTCTAATGCTACTTCGAGCTGCCCAATATAAGGGGAAGCCAGGGAAGAATATTTTGTTATACGCAAATCTTAACTATGTGAGTAAATTCTATGTCTCTCCCAGGGGTTTGCAAGGGAACATGTCAATAAGGGTCCCTGAGGATTCAGCTTCATTAACTTCAAGATAAATCCCTGTCTAATTCTAAATGGGTTAGAAAAATGAGGATGAAATATTATAGATTGTGCTAAATTTATCAATATCAGGCAAGATACTTCCTCAGGATCTGATACTTAATGAGTTGGTTCAAATAGTTAAGAGGGGCATTAACATTCTAACAAATTGGTTAATTGAAATCTGACTCAGTAGTGACCTACTGTCCCTGACAAACTGTAGAGGAAAGTTACTTAAGATTCTAGGGGATGGAAACATTCAGCCAGATTTCTTATGGGCAACATGCTCGGCTATCCTTCACCACACCCTGAGGAGGGCCTGCGTGAAGGACATGGACTTCACCAAGATAACCAGATAATGCACTGGTGATGAGTATAGCCAAATTTCTGGGAATGTCTCTGGTGGCTCTCCCACTGTGAGCTAAAGAAGATGGCAAGGAACAGTGCCAGCCACCAATTTATTGCCTCTCAGCTGCAAAATCACTCTTTAATACATGCTCTGCAATAATTGACAGAATTCCTTTAAGCATCTCTCCTTATCAGTGTTAAGTTTTCTCAGTAGAGGGTGCCTGGAAGGATACTGCAGGAGGAAGGGGTACTCCTGCTGTTTCTGGGGCTGCATAGTTGAGAAGCAGTATGAGGTGATGCTCTGTGGTTTCTTCATGATGGAGTATCTGCAATTTTGGCATGAAGTATACGATTGCTTTCAGGTCTACCAGTTACCTATTGCAGCAATGCTGTTGATAAAAAGACAACTGCAAAATTCAATGGATTAAAACCATAGCATATACTCACATTGGGCATCTGAGGGTCAGTGATTTTGGCTGAACTTTGCTGGATGGTCCTTCTGCTACAGGCTGGTCTCACTCACGTGACTGGGACACGTGGCTCTCCCAGGTCCCACGTCCTCCAACAGGCTAGCCTGAATGTGTCCTCCTGTCAATAGCAGAGCAGCAAGAGAAAGACCCTGAGGCAGATCCCACACAGAGCCCAGAGTGAGAGCAGAAGGGAGACTGTGCCAAGTCACATGCTACAGGTCAGGGACAAAGCAAGGTGAGGAGGTAGGATCATTTCTGCCCTGATGAGATGAAGACTCACAGGCAGATTTTATTCAATAGCAAGTTACTGCATTCATACCCTGAGGAGTCAAAACTGCATTCTCCCCATATCTGTTCTTCATTCTTCATTGCTTCCTTGGTGCAGACACCGGCATGGGTGCTCTGGAGGATTCTAGGTGAAGAGGTCTGCTCCTGTCCCTGAGGTCAAAATCCTGCAGGAGACAGAGGTTGAAAGCACTAATTTTGCAGTGAGGCAGAGATGGAGGGTGGGGTTTTAGGAGGAAGAGCAGGGAGCCCATGCCCCCTGCACCATCTGAAGAGCACTGCAGCCCTGAGTGCAGATGGGAGGGGGGCTGTGTTAGAGACAGCGGCAGGTGTGTCCTGTCTACACTAATCACTAGACTAGCTAACATTTATGAAGAGAACTCACAGCATGCCATTCACTGCTCCAAGCACTTACATAAATTCACTCTAATCTTCACAACCCTAGAGAGTTAGCCTGTTACTCCCCATTCTACAGATGAGGGAGCTGAGCCTCAGAGAGGTTAAGCTGCTTGCCCAAGGTCACAAGGTCACAGAGCCTACACTGGGGCCTCTGGGATTTAAGCCAGCAGTCTGGAACCACAGCCTGTACTGGTCACCTGACCCAGCTGCCTTGGAAGAACCTCCCAGGCCTTGGAGAGGGGCTGAGTGCAGAGAAGGCACTTCATACAGGAGTGACACTTCGCTTATCTCCTTGGGAGAGGAAGCTCCCCCCAACATTCAGGGGTCCCCATGGGGAGGATCACCCCTCCAGGCACATCCCAGTTTCTGATTTCAGCACAGGCAGCAGTCTCCTCCCTGGGAGGACATGCCATCTCCTGCTGCTGCTTCCTGAGCTGAGCCTGGGTTTCTCCACCCTGGGTTAGCTCTAGCCACATCTGTGCTCGTGTCTGATTAGGTTTCTAGGGTATTCCTGGAGAAAAGGCACTGGGCTTTCTTAAATACCCCAATCCTAATCTGGGGACACCACCAACATATTTGTTGCTCAGAGGATGAGTAACTGAAGAGTTGGCCTGCAGGAAGGACCTGGACCTCTGAGCCACAAGCTGACATTCCTGTTCCCTGTTACTTCCAGCTGCAGGAGGTGAGTCTGGGCGGGGGAGGAGAAACAAGTCATGTTGTGGGTGGGGGACTTCATGACCCCTGACTTGCTCCCTGAATCTCTTCCTGCAGAGTCCGGGCCGGCCCTATAATGTTTTGAAATATAAAAACTCCATTCTGCTAATAAAACCCAATATAATTAGCACAACATACTGACATTTCAGGATAGGATGTGGAGGGGCATGAGAGACACTGGGAATCCATCTGTACTATAGGGAAGTAGTTACTGGAACTTTCCAGAAGTAATGTCAAAACTTTTTATTGGCAGGAGGATTCACATGGGGTAGAAAAGGCCAGAAGGCCACTCACCATAAGGAGCAAGGCCCAGAAATCCTCAGGTGGGTTGAGGGAAGTGGAGGCAGCTGTGGGGTCACCTTCAGGCCACCTGGATGAGGCTCCCTCTGATGAGTTTGTAGCTGAATATGGAGTAGAGAATAGAGAAGCTGGATCACCTGCCAGAGAAACATGAAGCTGAGATGCACTTCGAGCAGTGGTCCTCCCCATCTCTGCAGGTCTCGGCCCCTCTCCCCTCAGCAAAGAGCCTCCGACCTCTGTCCTTGTGGCTTCACTGACCCAGTCCCCACCAGAATTCTCCTGCTCCCCCTGAGCCAGCACCTCCCTGCCAGAAAGGGTGGGGACCTGGGACCACGAGATAAGCCCCATCATGGGAAAGCAAATCCTTCTCTCTTTGGGGTCAGGAGTCTTCCTGCAACTGGGAAACCTGCCCTCATGGGATCTAATGTTGACCTCCAGGGTGTTGAAGGGACACAGACCCAGTTCCTCCTCTTAACTACCAACTTCCCCACCTACCAGAGCCAGGCCCGGCCATGCATCCCTGTGCAGGTGTGGCTGAGACCTCCACCTGGAGTTTGGTGTACCCCAACAGGAGCACATGCAGAGGCTTCCCCCACATCTCCTGAGGCTGTGGCAAGGCTGGCTCCCCAGGCTCTATATCTAGCTTTTGTCCCAGGACCCAAGCCCATGTGAACTCAGGCTTCCTTGGACCTGCTCTCCCCAGGCCCATATTCTAAGGTTGTGCTGTCCCTCACTGCCTGTCTACTTGTCACTTTGCTCCTAGAATTACAGCCCAGCTCTGGGGGGACTGCAAAGCTCTGTCCAACATCTTCCACTGCAAAGCTGATGCAGGCCCTTGTCCCCAGAAGACCCTAGAATACAAATTCCAAACAACGGAGCAGGAGCTGCCTTGGGCTACTCAGTCTGAGTGCTCGTCTGCTGTGCAGACTTTCAGAATAATGTGGCAGACACTTATCTCTGGCTTCACCAGGAGAATGAAGGAGACAGCACATGCCTTTGACTCCCTCTTTTTGACCACAGCCCGCTGAGACATGGCTCCTAACACAGAAACTAAAGACTGCTCTCAGGACTGGGGACCTGCTGGGGTCCTGCCTCTCCCAGAAGCTCAGGTTTCCATGGAGATAGGTTGGTTGAGAACTGGTGATACAGACACCCCTGAATCCATCTTCATGAAGAAGAGCCAAAAATCACTAATATCTATGGAGATTCTTTGGCTCTAAGGAATGAACCAACTGGTCAGGAGTGAGGTAGTGACTTGGAATGACCAGGGTCAATACACACACACAAGGGCCCACAGCACCCAAGGCCCCACTCACAATACATGAAGAGTCACCAGGACACATACTCACTGACACCTGAATATTCTTGCTTCACACCAACATCTGTTCATACATCCTGAACCCACACACGCACATGCACGCACACACACACACACACACACACACCAGTGATATGCTGGCAAATGCTTCATAAAATGTTCTTCTGGAAGAGGTGTAAAGGTCTTGATTTGTGGTGTTTACCTGATATAAATATCCCAGCAGGACTGATTTCAAGCTACCAATCTGATGCCACTGGACACAGAGCTGGGAAGAGATGTGCACCATCAGCTACCCGAAGCTGGTACAAGCCAGCTCTAGAACACTCATGTCCTTTCATATGAGGATGTGCACACAATCCACCAGCAACCTGAGTAAGGACCCACAACTCCCACCCCACACATGCAAACAAAACCACTATGTATCTGCAGAACACATACCCTCATACATCCTGAACACACACATTCAATTGCTACCCGTACCCTGAGCTCATGAACAGACCACTTCTTACTACCTACGTTTTTATTTGGACAAAACTCTACTCCCTCTGAATGCTCATACACCACTTCTACAACTATATACACACACACACGTCAGGCACCTTACTTCAGACATGTACAACAAACACAATGCCCATAAGTACACAATCAAAACCCTATAGGCACAGGTGCTCGAAAACCACCAAGTATACAAACAGTGTTCTCATGTACACTCCCCCCTCAAAAAACCCACATGCAATTCCACAGCTCTAACATATACATGCACTACAATTCCTGAATGCACACACAACCTACACAGCCTGTTTCCAAACACAGACCCTGAAACTCCCACGTCTCCTAGAATACAAAACACCATAAACCTAAATATACACACAGCCACAAACAACCTACACTGAGCAAATACACATAAGTCCACCTCACAAACACTATGTGTAAATATACACACCCACATCTCCTAGAATACAGAGCCCCATAAACCTAAATATACACACAGCCACAAACAACCTACACTGAGCAAATACACATAAGTCCAACTCACAAACACGAAGAACCCCCATATAAGCAAAACCAATAAACTCTGCAAGTATTACATTCCAGAACAGACACAGAGGACCCCTAAAAAGTCTTGATATACTCACAAAACCCCTTTACACACACACACGCAAACTACCCATGAATACACATCCCACGTGCTCAGATACAAACACATGAAATACAAAAACACCAACAATCCTTCTACTCCAATAGACACACACACACAACTCTCACACACCTATGGACAAACACACAAGTGCAAATATTCCCAGACCCTGAATATATACATCCCCCAAAACACTATACGATATCTCACATCTCCAGAACACAACCTCCCCACCTCATCTTCCAAATATTCCAAAATACATGTAGAAACTCCCTGGCATTCTCCAAAGAAATACCCTTTAAATACTCCTCATGAGACTGAGGTGGTAACCTATTTGGATGAAGCCCCCCAGAGTTTAATGAAAGTGAGCCGTGGCCTTGGTGCCTTAAACTAATGCTAGTTTAGGCTCTGGGAACAGGTCTCTCCAATCAGGGAGTTAGGATTTATAGCCAGCAATTGAGGAATGGAGTGAAAGCGGGCAGCTGGGCAGGATAGGATGTTACCTATGTGATAAGAAGGACCATAAAACAGTCACTCAGTTCCTGGGGTAAGAGACACTGTCTCAACATATACCTGCAAGATGTCTTCATAAGACAAAAACCAAAGCTTTCCCATTCCTTGGAATGTGCTGAGTGGAGATAAACTGTCACAAGGAAAGAGATTGATAAGAGCTGGAAGAATGACAGCAAAGAACCAAAAGTTACTTCTTTGTCCTCGAGATTTGCCAATCAGAACCATCCGCCAGCTATCTGCACAGCTTCTTCCCCAATCCCTGACCGTTTTTTACAAAAACCCCTGTGAGCCAGCCCTCAAGGAGTTCAGGGTTTTGCTGAGCTTTACCCATCTGATCTCCAATAATTGACCTAAAATTAAAACTTCCATTATTCCCACTGCACATCAGACAAATGGACCTAACTATGGTTGTATTAAACTCACAATCCCATGCACTATTTTTCTTTTTTTTGGAGGCTGACCAGTACAGGGATCCAAACACCTGACATCTGCATTACAAGCTGTGCTCTAAACAACTGAGCTAACTGGCCAGGCCTCCTGAACACTACAAATAAACATATGCCCAAGACACAGAAATATCACCAGTATGCCATTTATAAATACACATAAAACCACGCCCAAGTCCCAAATTATTTCAATCCAGTATGAACTGTCTCACACATCCCCAGATACTAACAAATAACTGTATCACATAGCTCTAATACAAATAAAGTTCTCCCACTACCCTGTATAAACAGAGAACCCAACTCTCTAACACATAAGCTCAGTTCTCAGAATATATAACCCTTTGAAAACTACAAACACATCCTGCCCCAAAATATTCATCCAAATTGCCATACCCCTTGAATACACACACAAATTCAATACACACCTGACTCTTCACATGCCACCCAATATACCCGCAACTACCTAGCACACTACAAACATGCAAACATGCCACCTTATATCCCCAAATATACATACATCCCCACACTACCTGCAAATACATAATCACAGATTCCAAATGCTCTCACTTGGGAAACACTCCAAGAGAGACTTTTTCCTGGCTCCATTCTTACAAGTTTTTCCTAACACAAAGGAGTTTTAGTTACCCCCGCTCCCATTGCCAGTCTTCAAAAATTACATTTGGGCTAACAAGATTCTATATGCTTCTGAGATCTAGGATTCTGATATGTTACATTGTGTTACAGCCGTGTTACAGCAAGAAGAAGCAAGACACGGAGGCTTGTAGCAGGAAGCAGAGTTTACTGATGCTGGCAGTGGCTCAGTGAACTTCTGTCACAAAGGCTGAGCACCAAATGCAGCAGGGCTGTCTCTTTTATATTGTCACACTTCTGGTTTTTACAGTGGGGGGGAGGGATGACCTTATATGTTTATAACTTCCATTTAGGTGGGGAATTTTCCAAGTCCACTAGTCCTTACAGCAGGGTGGGAAAGTTAAATGTTGTGTCAGCCATTGCAGCAGAGCAGGGCACAGCTGGGCATATATGACAGCAGGGCAGGGCTCATTCAGGAGAGCAGTTAGGGGAAGATGGGTGCCTCAGATGTGGTACACAAATGATTGCAGAATTGAAAAGACACTTTTTCTACAATTACATTTCTGTATCAGTGGCCCTGAGAAAAACTCATTCAAATGCTGTATCAAAACCATGAGTGGGAATCTTGGGAAATAACTGGTTAACTGACTTGACAAGGAGAGGAAACCACAAAGAAGCCTGCCTTTCTTCAGTGCCTGAGTACCATCATTTCTCACCATCCCTCTAATACAAAGTTACTGACTGAAAACCATTTAAGACTGTCCCGTGATAAAACCTCTAGTCCTGACAAAGATCTCCAAGTTGTCTTTTTTTCAATCCACACCTCTAGTTGTTTTTAGTTCAATTGTTCTCACATTGTCTTCATAACTAAGATCTAGATAGAGGTGCAGAGGGTAGCTGCCAGACAGGATAAGCAGAAAAGGTGCTTGCAGGAAGACAGTTCTGTGCTGCAGAGGACTACAGTCCTGGGAAATAGCCAGATGGACAGTCACTATGCATAGGTCATTACCTTCTCAGTGGCCAAACGCTGCGGAGCTATTGGATAGAAATGTTCATTGCACCTTTCAGGTTTAAAGTTAGGAGGAAATGCCTGC